CACAACAACCCCAAATCTTTGGAACACAGCAGAGTTGTCCTGAGAGGGAAGTTCATAGCATTACAGGCTTACCTCAAAAAACAAGAAAAATTTATAATAAACTATTTAACCCTACAACTCATAGAATTGGAAAGAGAACAACAAGAAAAGCCTAGAGTAAGTAGAACAAAGAAAGTATTAAAGATTAGAGCAAAAATAAATGATATAGAGATTAAAAAAACAAAATAAAATATATGAAACCAAGAGATGCTTCTTTGAAAAGATATGACAAGATTGACGAATCTTTAGCCATACCCATCAAGAAACAAAGAAAGATGATGCAAGTAATTAAAGTCAGAAATGAAAGCAGTGAAGTAACAACTTTCATCACAGAAATACAAAGAATTGTAAGAAAATACTATGAACAACTATATGCCAACAAGCTGAAAAATGTGGATTAAATGGACAAATTCCTAGAAAAATACAATCTCCCAAAACTGAATCAGGGAGAATCAGAAAACCTGAATAGAACAATAACAATTGATGAAATTGAAGCAGTAATAAAGAGAAAACTCCCAGGAAACAAAAGTCCTGGTCCAGACAGCTTCACAGGGTGTTTTACCAACATTCAAAGAACTAACACCTACACTCAAACTGCTTCAGTAAATCCTGGAGGAAGGACACTTCCAAACTCTTTTTATGAGGCCAGCATTATCCTAATTCCAAAACCAGATAAAGACACTACAAAGAAAGAGAATTACAGGCTAATATCCCTGATGAACATAGATGCTAAAATCCTCAACAAAATATTAGCAAATCAGATCCAGCAACATATTAAAAATATCTAGATCATACATCATGACCAAATGGGATTTATTTCAGGGATGCAATGCTGGTACAATAGTCATAAATCAGTAAATGTGACACATCACATAAACAAATTGAATGACCAAAATTACAGGATCCATACCAATAGATACAGAAAAGGCATTTGACAAAATCCAACAGCATTTAAAAAAAACCCAAAAGCTCTCAGTAAAGTGGGAATAGAGGGGTCATATCTCAACATGGTAAAAGCCATATATGACAAATCTACAGCAAATATCATACTTAAAGGACAAAAACTAAAACCATTTCCCCTAAGAGCAGGAACCACTTTTACCACTTACTCAACATAGTACTGGAAGTCCTAGCCACAGCAATCAGACAAGAAGAAGAAATAAAAGGCATCCACATTGGAAAAGAGGAAGTAAAAATATCATTATTCATAGATGGCATGATATTGTACATAGAAAACCCTAAAGACTCCATGAAAAAACTTCCAGATTTAATAAGTGAATTTGGCAATGTAGCAGGATGCAAAATCAATGCCCCAAAATTGATGTCATTTTTATATACCGATAATTAATTCTCAGAAAGAGAAATGAAAAGAAAAAATACAACCCTATTTACTATTGCAACAAAAAAATTCAGATACTTAAGAATAAACTTAACCAAGGAGGTAGAAGACTTGTACTCAGAAAACTATAGGGCATTGGGGGGAAAAAAATAAAGAAAGAAATAGAGGACAATATAAACAAGTGAAAGAATATCCCATGTTCTTTGGGATGGTAGAATTAACATCATTAAAATGCCCGTTCTTCCCAATGCAATCCCTATTAAAATACCAACAGCATATTTCACAGATTTAGAACAAATACTTCAAAAATTTATATGAAAAAAAAGACCCCAAATATCTGCAGCAATCTTGAGAAAGAAGAGCAAAGTTGGAGGAATCACAATACCAGCTATGAAGTTCTACTACAAAGCCACTGTAATGAAAACAGCCTGGTACTGGCACAAGAACAGGCAAATAGATCAGTGGAGCAGAACAGAGACCCCTGAAATTAACCCAAGCCTTTACACTCCATTAATATTGGACAATAACGTACAATGGAATCAAGACAATCTCTTTAATAAAACTTGTTGGAAAAATTGGACAGCTACATGAAGAAAAAAAAAAAAAGAAAAGAAAGAAAGAAAGAAAAAAGAAACTAGACCACCAACTTACACCATATACAAGAATAAACTCAAAATGGATAACAGACTTAAATGTAAGTCATGACTGTCAAGGGTAGGGAGATCTGGGGGAGATAAGAGATCAACAGAAGGACTTTTATACATGCTTAAAAGTACAACCAATGGACACAAAACTCTGGGGAGGGAGGGTATGTAGGGGGGAAGCAATGTTAAAACATGCACACAGATAATAATTTAATAAAAAAAATGTAAGTCATAAAACCATACAAATCTTAGAAGAAAACATAAGCAGTAAAATATTGGACATCTCTCTTAGTGATATGTTTATGGACACAACTCCTATGGCAAAGGAAACTAAGGAAAAAATAAACGGGACTACATTAAAGTAAGCTCTGCATAGCAAAAGAAACCATCAACAAAATGAAAAGGAACCCCACTGTATGGGAGAACATATTTGGCAATGATACGTCTGTTACATGAAAATATATAAAGAATTCATACAACTTAACAAAAGGAAGACAAACATTATAATTAAAAATTGGGCAAAGGACCTAAATAGACACTTCTTCAAATAGGACATACAAATGGCCAGGAGACATGAAAAAATGCTCAAAGTCACCAATCATCAGAGAGATGCAAATAAAAATGAGATATCACTTCACACCTGTCAGAATGGCTCCATCAAGAAATCAGCAAAGGAAAAGTATGGTGAGGATGTGGAAAAAGGGAACCCTAGTACACTGCTGGTGGGAATGCAGACTGGTGCAGCCACTTAGAAAACAGTATGGAGCCGAAACCGGTTTGGCTCAATGGATAGAGCGTCGGCTTGGGGACTGAAAGGTCCTGGGTTCGATTCCGGTCAAGGGCATGTACCTTGGTTGCGGGCATATCCCCAGTAGGGGGTATGCAAGAGGCAGGTGATCGATGACTCTCTCTCATCGATGTTTCTAACTCTCTATCTCTCTCCCTTCCTCTCTGTACAAAATCAATAAAATATATTAAAAAGAAAAAAGAAAAAAAAAAAGAAAACAGTATGGAGTTTCCTCAAAAAAATAAATATGGAACTGCTATGTGACCAGTGACCCTACTTCTAGGAATATAACCTAAGAAACTCAAAACACCAATCAGAAAGAATGTGTGACCCCTATGTTCATAGCAGCACTATTTACTGTAGCTAGGATCTGGAAGCAGCCCCAGTGCCAATCAGCAGACGAGTGATGAAAAAGCTGTGGTACATTCACACCACGGAATACTATGCAGCAGTAAGAAAGAAGGATCTCTTACCCTTTGAGACAGCATGGAGCGACCTGGAGAGTATCATGCTAAGCAGAATAAACCAGCCAGAGAAAGACAAGTATCACATGATTTCACTCATTTGTGGACTCTAATGAACAAAATAATCTGAGGAAGAGAACAGTCAGAGACATAGAAGCATGGAACCAACTGCAGAATCTCAGAGGGAAGGCAGGGGAGGGTAGTGATCAACCAAATAACTGGTAGGATTTGGGAGAGGGGTTTGGGTGGAATACATACAGGGTGGGGCAAAAGTAGGTTTCTAGTTGTAAGTGAAACAGTTTATTCCTATATTATTTATTAACTAGAGGCTCAGTGCACAAATTCATGTACAGGTGGGAACCCTCTGCCTGGCCTGCCATGGGGGCGATTGGGGCCGGCTGGGGGAGGGACCGCAGGCGGAGCGGAGGTTGGTTGTGGGAATGCACTGACCACCAGGAGCAGCTCCTGCATTGAGCGTCTGCCCCCTGGTGGTCAGTGCACGTCATAGCGACTAGTCCTTTGGTCTTGGTTCTAGGCTTTTACATACTATATATATATATATATATATATATATATATATATATATATATATATATATATATATATATAATATATATACACATACAGATTACTGTATTATTTTCTGTTAGGTCGAGGCACGGGGGAAGCCCAGAGCGGATGCAAGCATCTGCAAGGTAGATGGTGACTGAGATAACTGGGCCTTCCTAGACCCCTGGCCCCAGGCAGGAATTCCACCCCTCTCATGCCCTCCGCCCTCCCCTCACCAAACAGCTGTATAAAAGAAGTACCTGTGCCCCCTTATGGAGGAACTTCCCTGGCCCGCCCTGGACCAGCGAGCTCTGCCGGGGAGCGCAGATTAAAACCTCCCCCTTTTAATCGCCTGGACTCTGTCTTGTTTTCTGCTTCGAGAACCTCTCATGTTCCATATGAACAACTGTAGCCTTACTTTTGCCCCAACCTGTATGTATGTATGTAGAATGCGCGCCAGTGGTCTGTTGGCAGAGTTGTTGGCAGTGACCTCATCTTCCCGTTAAACAGTGGTCATTAACCCTTTCTCTCCCTGCGAGCAGAGGAGACCCCCAGGGTATAGTGGGCAAAAGCCCCAAGGCCAGAACTCTGCCTCGTTTGTAAGATGGAATAATAATTCCATCATTATTGATAGGGTAATTGGTACAATAGTAACTATTACTTTGTTGATGCAGTTTATAGCAGCACCCACATCACAGGCTGCACGGAGACTGGGGCAGCGCTGAGCGGGGGGCCGGGCGGAGCACCGGCCATGCCGGCGGCTGTGAAGCGGCTCCAGCACCCGGGCCGCGCCCCGCTGGCAGGTTCGGTGCCCGGGCAGAAAGGGGAACTCGTCCGCGGCCCCCAGAGCACCGGGCGGGCGCCGGTGAGCGTGCCGCCCCGGGAGGCCGGGGTGGAGCCTCAGAGCGGGCGGAGGCGGCTCCGGGATCCCACCCGCACCGCCTCCGGAAAGCGCGGTGCCCGGCCACCCCGGCCCGCGGGGCGGCCCCGGGAGGGGAAGCGGCCCAGGCACCGCGTCCGCGCGGCCCGGGCGCCCCCGCCCGGGCTCCCGCCGGAGGGCCTTCGCCCGCGGCGTCCGCGGCGGAGCTGACCGCCCCCGCCGCCCCGCCCCGGCCGCGTCGCGTGGCTCCGCGCTCGCCCCGCCCCCGCGCGGTGTCCGCTCCGAGCGGCGCGAGCGGAGCGGCGGGGCCGGAGCGGCGCGGCCGGGGCGGCGGGCGCACGGAGCGGCGGGCTGAGCGCGGCGCCCGCGGCGGGCGGCGGCGCGATGGCGGAGATGGGCAGCAAGGGGGTGACGGCCGGGAAGTTCGCCAGCAACATGCAGAAGAAGCTCACGCGCGCGCAGGAGAAGGTGAGCGCGAGCGGCCCCCGCCCGGGCGGTCCCCGCCGGCGCCCGCGGCCTCCGGGGCGCGGAGGGGGCCCGCCGCGGCGCGGCCCTGGGCTCCCGGCCCGGCACCTGCCCGACCCCGCGGGCCCGAGCGGCGCCGCCCCTCCTCCGTGTCCTCCCGCCGTGTCCTCCGCACGCCGGCCCCGCGGCGGCCGGGTCCGGGAGCCGCCGAGCGGGGAGGGTGGCGCCCCGGTGGCCGGGCCGCGGGTCCTCCGGGCGGCGGCGGGGTTCCCGAGGCCCCTTCCCCGCGCTGCCCGCTGCCCGCCTCCCTCCGCCGCTCCGCGGTGCGGGCTGGGCTCCCCCGGCGCCCGCGGCCTGGGAGTTCCGGGGCCGGAGGGCTGCGCGGCCCCCGGGGGCTCCGCGTTTCCGGCGCCGGGAGGTGGCGGCCGGCGCGGGGCCGGGCGGGAGGGCGCGGAGGGCGCGGGGCCGGGCGGGAGCGGCGCGGACCCGGAGCCCCGGCGGGAGCGCGGCGGGCGGGGCGGACACGCGGGCGGCGGGGTCCGCTCGCTCGGCCCGGGGCCGGCGCCCCTGGCTCCGGTCGGTCCGGGCCCCCCCGCCCCCGGACTGTGCAACGTGAGACGCGGGCGGGGTGCTCCGCGGGGGAGGGGGCCGCCTGGCCTCCGCCTCCGGGTTGACTGTTCTTAGGGAATGCCCGGCCGCGGCGCCGGCGGGCCCCTAAGGATTGAGCCAAGGAGCGACGGCGATGGAGGGTGCGGGTGAGGGCCCCGGTCCCCGGGCCGGCCGAGGAGTGGGCGGCGGTGGAGCGGCCCTCCCTGCGGAGCCGGCGGCCCAGCTGTCCCCCCCCCCCCTGCGGGGCGGGAGGGGATTAGGGCCCTATAGATAGCCGGGCCGCGGCTCCGGGCCCAGGTGGGGGAGGGCTCCTCTGCGCCCAGGAGCCCGGTGCCGGGAGCGGCTCGGCCCCAGCCTGCTCCCTGGTGAAAGAGGAGCCCTCAGGGCTGAGGCCGTCCAGCCCCTCCTGCGGCCCTCGCCCTCCTGCTGTGTCCCTTCGCCTGGCTGCCTTGTCATGCGGCCGCATCCTCCCCATTCTGGGGCAGTAGGCCTGGACTGCCCCTCCATGCAAGTGCCAATGTCATCACTGACCCCGCGGCGCTGCCGCTGCCGCCTCCTTAGCCCGTTTTGTGGCCACAGGCAGTGGCTGACAGCTGGTCAGCTGCGGGTGCTGCCTCGCACCAGGGCCGGCCACCCGAGCCGGCTGCAGGGGACTGAGCAGCTTCGTGCTGCCGATAGGGACCCATCAGAAGCCCCAGCGGCACAGCAGGCCTCCCTGTGTCTCAGAAAGCAGCCCTCCTGTCCACGGCCCTGTGGGAGCCGCTGGGTACCCCTCCCCACGAAGCCTGATGGCTCAGCCCACGGAACCTCTCCCTCCTGCTCCGGGCCGCACAGCCTGAGTGCCAGGACCTGCGGCCTGCCAGCACCTTCTGCCGGCGACAGCACCACCTCTAGCTCATGTGGCCAGTGGTCTCACAGGTCCCCCACCCGCCCACCTGCCTCTGCCAAGTCAGTGGGAAAGTGGTGACTCCCGCTGTCCAGTCTCCGAGGAGGCACTTCCTGAGCAGGCCAGGCTGGTCGTTCCCAGCCGCCCCTCCCAGAGGGCCACGGGTGGTCAGCAGAGCTTGCCCCCTGGTAGCTGTGTCTCTCCAGGGTCCTGGCCTGGCCAACCCCTCGGCCAGCCTGCCTCCACGCTGCCTCCTGAGGGACGAGGGACGGAGGACAGGCCTTCAAGGTCCCTGCCGGCGCTGAGTGGCTGTTTATGAGCAAATGAGGACGTTTAGTGGCTGGCGTGGGAGCCTTGCGCTGGCTTGAGGGTGGGCTGGGCTGTCCCAGCTGGCCATGTGTCCTGTGCCTGCCTGGTGAGCCGGAGCGGCTGGGGCAGGGTGCGTGGTCTGCTGGCGCAGAGGTGTGGCTGTAAGGTCCTGGGGCCTGGGGCCTGGGTGCCGGGAGAACAGGAGGAGGCATGGAGACGGTTGCCAGGGTCTGCCAGCATGGTGCCACGGCTGCTCACCCCAGCCCCGCTGCCCAGAGCTCAGGCCGGGCACCATGAGGTCATCTTCCCTTTGTGGTGGCTTCCTGGACCCTCTAAAGGACAGTGCCCGTTTGGGCTCAGGAGGGCGGCTGGACGGAGCTAATTCCGTTCGGGTGGGGCTGGGTCAGATGACAGGATTAGAGGTTGTGGAGCTGGGCCCCTTGGGGGAGGGGTCAGTTGGGGAGAAGGGACAGCTGGGGCAGGCTGGAATCTGGCCTGCTCCTCCCTGAGGTCCGTGCCAGGAGCCCTCCTCGGGGTGCCTGCGGGAGGCTGGCCTTGCGCGGGGGCGGCGGGGTGGGGAGGGGCAGCCCGGACAGAGAGCCGGGCCTGCGGGAGCAGGTGCTCACGAGAGGGAAGGTGCAACGGCGGCTATTTATAGCCCTGACACTCGGCCAGGCGGGCACCGCTCATCTGCTGCTCCCCCCCCCCCCCCCCCCCAACATCCATTTTGGCCTCCTCAGGAGGAATCGGGCCTTCACAACCAGTCCTTGTCCGCACAGCAGCCTCCATACACCCAGGAGCAGGCGCTGGGGGCAGGGAGCCCACCCAGGTCGCTGGGAGCGCCTCTGACACCCCAGGTCTTCCCGGACCCCCTTCCCAGGCCCATCCACACACATTCCTCTTCGCCCACTTTCTCCCTCTCCCTTTCCCCTTGGCGTCCATCTCTCTGTTCTCGAATGTCTGAGGACTCTTCCTGCTCCTTCCGCTCACCAGCTAGCTACCCACCGCTCTCTCCCCCCTTCCTTGCTTGCTAGCTCGTGCTCTCTCTCGAGAATGTCCCAAGCTCTTGCTGAGCTTGTACCGGTTTTCCTGAGCCTCTGGATATCAGGCCAGAGCAGTTTCTCCCGGAGCTCAAGCTGCTGTGCACGGAGCTCCTGCCGGCATCTCGGTGGCCGGGGGATGTGTGGGCAGCCCAGTGGGCCCGGCTGGGCCGAGTCTCGCTGAGTAGATCGCTGGCCCATGGGGGCTGTGTGAGGGAGGCTGCTGCCTGGGCATGCGGGGAGGTGAGTGCATGGCGCCTGGGATGCAGAGGCTGTTCCAGGAGGGACAGGAATGGGCCGCAGGGGGTGGGGTGAGGACTGCAGGCTGCCGGGCACCTGAAGAGAAGGTGGGTGTGTGGTGAGTCCAGAGTGGGAGGGGGCAGCAGATTGGGGCCGGCTGTGCCCTGGTCTATGCCTTTCCTCGGAGCTTGAATTCAGGGGTATCTTGTACTCTGTGGGCTCCGGAGAAGACGAGGCCTGCACTCCAGCATTTTAACCCACAAGCCCCTTCTACCTCCCTCTCCGCCCCTGGCCCGGCCGGCCCCACACCGCAGGAAGTTGTCTGCGCTGGACAATGGGAGAGGATGCTCTGCCCTTCCCTCCTTCACCTGAGACTGGCCTCCATGGCTCTTTCTCCAGAAGGTTCTAGCATTCCTGTCCTCCTCTTGGTGTCAGGCCTCTGTCTCGCCAAAGGAGAAGAGTGCCTGTGAGGGCTTGGCAGGCAGGCGGGCGTGGGCCAGTCACAGAACCCCCGAGCCAGTGTCTTTATGTATATAGAACAAGCTTGTCATACTCAAAGGCTGCCCCGGGCCAAATAAACAAGATTTAAGTGTATGTGGCTGCAAACACAGAAGCTTTAATTTTCATAGAAATATAGATTTATTTCGATAGAGATAAGCTGAATACAAATGGCTGAAATAAATGAGTCACCGTTAACATAAAATAATAGAACCTTTTAATAAAAATTAATATTATTTCTTGAACATTAGCTTACCAGACACTGAATAACTGCACAAATTAATAAGCGTAATGCAAATAAACCCCTTTTTCTTGTTCTCCGATAGTGAAATATTTCCTGTTGTGCACACCAAACAAGTCAGTCCAAGATTAATGACGTGGCCATCAGCTGCTAAAATATTCGCTGCTGGTGTTGGTGGAGAAAAATGGTGCATTTACATGTAAGGCAAACAAACGACACAATTATAGTAACGAGACATTAGTGAGCGTTGTAGTTCGTTATTAGTAATCCTATCTAATAAAAGAGCAATATGCAAATGAACCATCATTCCGCTACATCCACAAGCCACACCCACAAACCAATCAGAGCAAGTATGCAAATTAACCTAACCAAGATGGCTGAACGAGCTTGTGTTTCCCTGGCAATGGAGGAAGCCAAGCTTTCCGCCTGCCCTTGCAGGCCTAGGCCTCCACTCAAGGCTATAAAGTTTCAATTGTAGAAGGTAAATAAATTCCAACAGAAACTGAGCGAGCAGGAGGCTTGGCTCCACTCTAGGCTACAAAGTTTTAATTATAGAAGATAAATAAACCCCAGATACCAGGGTCTCTGCTTAAGTGGGGGGGGGGGGCCTGGCTAGCCTGCAAACCACCATAGGCCCCTCGCCTAGGCCGCCCCACATCCCAAGGGAACCCCCACCCTGATCCAGGACACCCTTCCGCTGGCCCCCACCCATGCACCAGGCCTCTATCATATCTAATAAAAGAGTAATCTGCAGATTGACCATCACTCTAACACACAAGTTGGCTGCCACAAGATGGCCAGCAGGGGAGGGCAGTTGGGAGAGACCAGGCCGGAAGAGGAGGGAAGTTGGAGGTGACCGGGCTTGCAGGGAAGGGCAGTTGGGGTGGGGGCAGGGCTACAGGGGAGAGCAGTTGGGGGGACCTGGCCTTTAGGAGAGGGCAGTTAGGGATGACCAGGCCTGCAGGGGAGGGCAGTTAGGGGCAAACAGGCTGGCAAGGGAGTGCTTAGGATGTGATCAGGCTGGCAGGGGATTGCTTAGGGCACATGTGTCAAACACAAGGCCCGCGGGCCAAATCCATCCCGCCAGGCCTTGCAATGTGGCCTGCACCGCGCTGTCATCACTGCACTCCGCTGCGTTTCCATCACAATGACAGTTTATGACTGTTCAGTAAACCATTCG